CGATGCTGTTGCTGTTCTGCATCATAATATAGTGTTCAACCTAGAAAAGAGCAAGAAGTATGTTCGATGCGCTTTCCTGGACTATACTTCTGCTTTTGATTCTATATCAAGGCAACGTTTACTTAACAAGTTAATCAGCGTCAACACTGACAGCTGGATAACCAACTGGCTATGTTCCTACCTCTCTGGAAAGGAACAGTACACGGTGTTTGGAGGAAAGTGTTCAGAGTCTCTAGTGTCTTATGAAGGTGTACCACAAGGAGCTGTTCTTTCACCTCTTCTTTTCTCTTTTTTTCTGCATGATCTGCCATCTTCCACAGTAAACACTTTCGTGAAATATGCAGACGATCTCACTGTTTGTATGCCTATCTCTTCCTCTTTACATCCTATAGAAATGAACGAGTTTTTATCTCGCATTGATAGTTGGTCTGTCGTTAATGGTCTCCTACTTAATCCGTCTAAATGTCAAGCTGTTAACTTTAGCATGAGACATGATCGGCATTTAAACACCTTTTTGAGATCTCATAATGCTTGTGCCATTGGCGACTCTTTGATAAACACAGTGTCGACAGTCAATTATCTTGATGTTACCTTTTCCTCTGATCTCTCTTGGTCTTCTCACGTTTTATTGTTATCGAAGAAAGTTTTTCGTCTGACTAACTACATCAAGAGGTTGCATGCCTTTGGGATCACTCGTCATTTACTCCTACAATTTGTCAATTCTTGCATATTACCTATTATTCTGTACTGTTCTCCGTTATTCTTTCCCGGGCTTTTGAGAAAAGACTTTGCTGTACTGCGGAGAGCGCTGAAGGCAGTTAGCAAGTTATGTGGTGAATCTTTCGAGACCATAATTAATATGATTGTGGATAGACATCTAAAGTCATGCAAACTCCTGGCAGATGTTATTTTATCAGATACTAACCATCCCCTTCACTCATATCTTTTTCCTTGTATATCTTCTGGTAGAACGAGACGAAATTACATTAAAATCCAAGCACGCAAGCAAAAGTATAAACGTTCTATAGTACCTTACCTAGCAAATGTACTCTGTGACGAACAGGATGTTAGAGTTAACCTAGTCAATAATCTGCATTCTTAACATGACTCTAATTGAAAAGTTGTACAGTTTTTTTCAGATTTTTTTAACCTTTTTTTTCTGAGAATTCTATATTGTACCAAAATATAATATTGAATAAAGCCATAAATAAATTAAAGAAAAGTAAGTCCGAACAGAGAATCGCATCTCCAGCATCTGGATCTTTTTTTCGACCGACTATAAAAACATGGCATTACTGTAAACATTCAGAAATGCCAGATCGAAACCGACTCCTTAGACTTCTTAGGACACACTATCGATGCGCAAGGTATCCGACCCCTTGGAAAAAAAGTGGCGGTTATTCTGGATTACCTAGAACCGACCACCATCAAGCAATTGCGCACGTTTAATGGCCTGGTAAGTTTCTAGAGACGGTTCATTCCCAAATGCGCCTTAATCATGAAACCTCTTACCGACCAACTTCGTGGAAATGCGAAATCCATCAATCTGGATGACACCGCGCGAAAGCATTCCTCACGGTTAAGGAACTGATCGCTCAAGCGACCATGCTTGCTCATCAGGACCCTGAAGCGCCGTCAAGCATCCACACCAGATTACGTGTGGGAAGGCCGTGCTCAGCATCTACCACAATCGCTAGCCGGATTAGTTCAAACGATCCTCGATATATTGATAGCTTATCAAATATATCTTCGAACCTCCTCGCTTCTGTCTTTTGATTTCACTTGGTGGGTACGCTTCATACTAGAAGGTGTTACTGGTTAAAGCGATGTCAGACTCCGAATACCTGTGGCATATTCAATATGATCTTGAGTCTGTGATAACCGCCTTTTATAACTTGGTCCGTGACCGCGGATACAGAAAGTGTCCGCTGACCAGGAGAGTAAGAACGAAAATACTAAGAGTCCTAGAATCGAACAGGTTTCTTAGGATCAGCGAAATAATCATAATCTTATAGATTCACTATTTCGTTGACGTGATGTTAATAAGTGTATCGTGGTAAGACTATATTATTATTACTGTTATATTTTTTACATTTACCTAGGAACCGAGCTGTTTTGCGTCTTACAAGGATGCATGTTTTATTAGCCATGAGTTTCACCAATAGTCGACCACTGTAAGTAAATACTGCAGTCAGGCCCACTACTGACTGACGCCCTTTATTAGTCAAGCGCGTGCCCTAACACCCAGGAGGACGACGGTTTGAGTGCGTGAGAGAATGGTGCTTTTGTTCACAAAACTCACATTTATACGGTGTTCGTTGATTTCAAGAATGGGTAATTACACCAAAGTGTCCTAACAAACAACTCTGAAATGCACAATCTTAGCCGGTGGTTAAGCGCCCAAAGTATAAACAGCACAAGCGTTCTCTGCTCATACTAATAATAATCAAGTAGAAAAGCGACATGTGTGGTAGACTTCAGCTATACTGTACTACAAAAGAATATGCACTGTTATATATATAACATAAGGCTTCTTCACATGACAGTAGCGGTAATTTCCAGGATTTTGTATAGAAAACTGGCAATGAATGGTTCAACAGGAGTGCAGCCGTAAGAGTCACACTGTAAACACAATCTTATGGTTATCTAGTGGATCAGTTATCTATATTAGTGCCCATAGATGGATGGTTAGGAATACCTGTCTATGCAAGGTAGTCACGAGCAATGGGCTGAATAGGAAACAATAGATCAATCCGTTTGACGTTAAGTACGTGAAGTCAGTACAGTTCTTCCTTTCTTAAATCCTGGACAGGGTTTCGATAAGGATCTTATGTTGTTGCTCCTTGCGACCAAGAAATTTCTGGCATGTTAGATTTGGTGCCTCTTTGATCAATTTCTAGTCGTTCTCCATATTTGTCTTCTCCCCTTCCAATAGACCTTGTAAGGGTTGGAACCTGATGCTAAAATCCATCTTGAATTCTTTGAGTTTATCAGTATCACTAGGGAGAGATGTATTAAATCCTTATGATGCTGTTTCTTCAGTTGTCCAATTCTTCTTTTCAACAACTACCAGGGGTGATCTAGAGCTACATTAGCTCCTTTCTTTGTTCTCACATCCTCCAAGAATCTGACTTTTTTATTGATGCATATGTGGCAAATCCAGTTTTTCGTGGTGTGGTCCAATGATACCCATGTGGCTTTGTGTATACGTTTGTGGGATAATATTGTGTCACCCAAAACCATTTTAATACATAAATTTGCAAATCTTTCGACATTCTCCTTCCTTTCTCTTAGTCCTCATTATCCCATGATATCTTCATACTCACTGTTTTCCATTCCGACCTTGGAGTTTGGATATCTATCAAGGTGATCATCTCCTATCCTGGTCACTTCTCTACGGTCATCTGGAGCATCTCATAGAAATGATCTTTATCGTCTTCATCACTATGGTTGGTTCTGCATATGAGTGGATAAAATTCATTGTAACTCCCTCCCTCTTTGTTTAAAGGATCCTTTGATGGTTCTGTGTCCATTAGATTTTCATTCTACCAGCAATTTTCGTGTTTCCTTGAACAGTATCAGTGCAACACTGTGTGTGCTTAGCATTTTCACGATCATCTAACACAAACCCCGCACACTTAGCAGCGCAATCAAAAATCATTCCGAGTTTTTCTTGCTTTTTCTGGTTTATCACTGCATGATAAGTTAAACACCAGCATGAACGATGTTTTGACAGCATGTGAATTTTAAAAACTTTGACAAAGATCTCAGTAAAATTATTTTCAAAATTTATCGTACGTCTCGTACAAACAGCCACTCTCAACAACCTACGCCCTAAACTCTATGAACTATGTTGCACTGCTTCATAATTCCTTGCTATCATATCTGTGTTCTTTTTCAAAGGCTTTAGAACAGCAAAATGACTGCTGTATTGTCTACCGACAGTGACTAATCATTTGAATATACATCGGTAAACCTCATGTCATAAAGCTTGCGATGCTGGTCTTCTGACGTCTGTACTTTGCAGGTATGGTTGATAACTTTTTTCTGAACTCTAGATATGAAATAGGTTCAAAATCAATCCATTCTAGCAATGTTTTTGTGGCCTATGGGTGGTTTTTTCCACATAACCTCTGGCCTAACACTCTTAGGAAGTTCTAGGCCTACCACAACTGCTGGCCATCACTCACAATGACTTTCACGGTAATAAGCACCATCAACCCTACCGTCGAAATGATTTTTGGTGTTATGTAGGTCTCTTTCTGATCGGTCGGACAAACCGATTCGATAAGAATCATTAAAAGTATCTAGTTCTACGTCAAGATCATCCCGAATAATTTTTTCTTTTACTTTTCATTCCTCCTTGGTATTTTGGGTTTCTACTTCCCGTTTAAACTATCTTTCACCCCATCTACAATCAAGCTAGAACTAGTATTACTTTTAATTGTTTCTATATGGTAATTATATTACCTCTACATATAATTCTGATCCATGGTGCATAGTGATACAAAAAAGTGATTGGTTTGTCAGAGAGGAATGGTTGTCTACGTTGACTCCATTGTCACCCATCACACTCCGCTTCAATCCTTTTTGGGGTTACTGGCGGTCCGAGGCCGGGATACAGGAGGAGGTTATCGGGTTATAAGTAACCCCATACCGTATAAGCCAACCTTGCTAAAGACGCCAGCCAGAAAAATCAGTCTAGACCATTTGAACTCTGCCTAAGAGTTGAAGGATCTCTATTTAAAAAAACTATGTCGCTTCATGGTGAACACCGAGATTCTTTGGAACCCACGAGGCTGATAAACCTCGAAACTATCATGGCATCAATTAACGTATGTACATGGAAATTCCGGACAGTATGGTAGGCTGTTTGAACAGTCAAACAGCTGCACAGACAAGAAGATACAATATGGTGGTGTTTGAAAAGAAGCAAAACTCATTAGATCAAAGCTAAACAGAAAAGACTATATTAAGGGTTATTGAACATCGTGTGTTTTACCGTACTCTTTGTTGGGGTTTCAAAGCATCTAGTCAGCTGATCGGTTTGAAGTATGATATTTCACTTGTTCCCGGGACCAATAATAATCTGACTGATATGCAGTTTTCTATCCTCTAAACACCTTCCGATAAAGCTTCACAATGGGGCCCTCGCGTTGTGTGGTATTGTAGATATTCAAGTTATCTAAAATGGAAAACTTTTCTAATTATTTTAATACTAATGGTTCGGTCGTGGCTAATGGGAAGGTGAGTCCATCCATATATATATCACTGCCCTCCAGACTAATTCATACCACAAAAGCGACGTGTGCATCAACGATAGTTTACCGAAAGAGTTAATCATCAGGTTAGTAGAATTGTCAACTTCCTAAATCTGAATCCAGGGTTTTTTCTTACCTAGATATCACTACTCTATGCAAATGCTCTCAAGTTTGTAAAGTAAGCTGCCTTTTTTCATCAGTATTTTGATAGTTTTGGTATGAATGTGCTTTTGATGGGAGCAACTGGAAGAGTATTAATTTATTTGACTTCCAACGATACGTGCAGGTAATTTCTATCGTCCAACTAACTCAATATAAATAGCCTAAGGTAGTTGAAAAAATTGCTCAGAGAAGTCGCGGCTTCCTCCGTGAGTTGAGGTTGAAAGGCTGCCGAAATGTTACTGATGAGGCTCTAAAGTGAGTCCGATTGATATTTTATATTTTCCCACTATTTGTACTACTTATACGTTAACTTCCTATGTTGTTATTGGTTTTTCATAGAATTGTCTTAAGTATACTTCTAGCTGAATGGTTGTCTGTGCACATTATAAAAACATCAACGTTATTCTTGTAGAGAAAACTAGTTTGTTGATATTCTATTCACATCGTTTAAATGGTTAGTCGTCTTGTATCTGAATAACGGATAGAAGTTTTATAAATTTTTAGATAAAAGTCCATTTTTCTGATTATTCTATCTACAATTTATGTGAAGTTTGACCATTTTAATTTGTAAATACCAGGATTCAGTTATTTGAAGGGTCAGCGTTCACTTAAAATATCTGTTATGTCCATCGAGTCTTCAGATATTATATTCAGCATATTGATGGAAAAGCCTGGCTAGATGTAAGGAACGGCTTTTCCTCTACTAGTCTTCAATATTTTTCGTACAGAATCACCTGATTCAGTATATCAAAAACAGTAAGACGATCAACGTTGGACAACCTTCCCCGAAATCTGGTCACAATTGCGTAGTTTCGGGTAAACTGACGGTTATGCTGAAAAAACGGTTGTTTATTTCTAAGGTGACAGAGTTATTGTACATCATCTCTTCACCGACATTGTCCAGCACATCCTTTATCAAAATGGAGTACTTTTACATGCAGTTTTTAGTCAACTCGTGAAGTATATAAGCGAACAGGTGACTATTTAATGATTGTTCTCATCTAGTATTTTAAGTTTTGCTACAGGATTTCCTACTAGTTTACTGGTAACTCCGCATTACATCAATCAATCCTGTGGCTGGTCATTGTAGTTCGACGGATGACTGGTTTCGTTCTGTTTAATTGAAAGTTTACACACACCTGTCAAAAACAAAGCAAGATACTTCATGTTCATAAAGACATTTTTACCTAGCACCATCTAGTAACTAACCTTATCTTCTTGTTACAGATGTTTTACCGAACTTTGTCATATGATTGAAAGTTTGGACTTATCGGGATGTCAAAACTTGACGAATGGAACTTGCGATTATTTAGGAAAAAATTGTTCTCTTCTGACTACTTTGTCCCTGGAAAGTTGCTCTCGTATAGATGATGCTGGATTAGAAACGCTAAGGTAAGTGTATTAAAAATTTTCTCGTTAGTCAGCAAATATTTTTCCGTCATGCACTCATTGTTTCTGCACATAGTTTATAAATTATCCCATCCATGTCATGGCACCTCCTATTACACCAGGTTTTATTGCTTTGAGTAATGTCAGATTAATAAACCTCTTACCGTTAACTGATTATCCTATCACTATTATTTTATTTTACTGTGTATGGTCAAGTGTCTGAAACTCCTATTTCCCTTTTGTTCACTCGGATAATTATTCTTACTGTTTCTACATGTAGTTTACATCTTAGTGCGCCAACCTTCATAGTAACGAAGTCGATTAATCATTATTTGTGTCAGGCGAACATTTTTTTCAGTCAAGTCACTGGTGGATGAGGCAATCTTAAAAGCTATCAATATATTCATCAGTAATTGCGTTGGGTTACTGGGTATTTAATTTACCTTAAGGAAGGAAAATATATTCATTACCTAGTCACACGAAACTAATGTTTTTGGTTGTGCATAATATTATTCGGGTCCCAGTTGACTGTAGAGGTTACACATGCTGAAACATCGCCTACTAATAATATCTGAATCTAAGTTGGAAAATGATTGCGTACGACGTGGCAATTGATCTACATTTTTTAATGGTCCTTAAAGTATTGAAAATCTTGCTTATTTCATAATATTTACGCTTCTGATCATTTTCACTGCATTATTTCAGAATATGTCAGCATGAACTAATATGTACCTTTACATTATTTTTTGTTTTCTTATCTCACTATGAAATTTATATTTAATTCCGTTTAAACTATGTAGTGGTACTGGTAGCTAATTATTAGTAAACCGTAATAAATTCATTTTTGTTATAACTTTTAACTCCAGAATAGGTCCATCATAAAATTATTAGAACAGGAACTGTAGGTATTTACAGCTACATTAGCTATATCATATCTTTCTAGGTTTAGTACTTCTCTAAATTTATATGTAGACATTTCTGTATCATTATCTCTCAGTTGGGTATGTCACATTCCTAATAATGTTTAATTTTTTTTCAAGCGACCAACGTAACCTACCAGACAGATATCCAATTTCGGGTTTTCACTAATTAGCTGTAAAACACTAGTATCTTTCATGTTATAACACTTTTTATGTTTGCTTCCACCAACGAATTCCAATTTCAAACTAAAGTCAAGGAGTGTTTCTCTGAATCAAACAACCACAGTCTCGATTTGTTTGTTGTCTTATTGACTGTGGGTATCCAAATTTTCTGAAGTAATTGAAAAAATTGAGTTTCACTTGAACTAGAATCTAGAATCCCACACCTTGATACATTTGAATAACTTAAAAATATGTGGTTTAACCTAACACATTTCATTTCAAAATAAATTATATTCGAAATTTGTTGAGATTCCGTTCTTTCTGTTTAAATCTCTGTTTTCCACACACTAGCCGGTGTTCAAATCTAACATGTTTGGATGTGTCATGGTGTAGTGTTGGAGATCATGGGTTAACCGCTATCGCCAGAGGATGTAAAAGTTTACAAAGATTTCGTGCTATAGGTTGCCAAGAGATAACAAGTCGTGGTGTGGAACAATTAGCACGTCACTGCCATAGTTTATTGCTGTTAAACTTGAATTACTGTGGACAGGTATGTATATTTCAATGTGTGTCATGGTTAGGATGTATTCACTGAGCCACCCCACTGATCACTAGTGTAATATTTAGAACTAATTATCTCTTAGTAGGCTCTCTCAATTTGTCAGATGTTCGAGCTCTGCTATTCATAATAAAATATACACTAACAAGTAGTAGCATTGACTTAATATGACATTTGTTACATTGGTTGATTGAAAACAGGTATTTATTGATGAATACCGATTTAGCAATCAGATTTGTATTTGCTCTTTAGAAATGTAAGTAATCTAAAAATTTCTCTCAATAAAAAAATATAAAAATAGAATTTAAAAAAATCATGACGGCTATTTTGTAGTGAGAAAATGTATTACCCGTTATATTGTTGTTCGTTTGATTAATAACTTTGGGAATCCAGTTTCTTAATACGTAGAATCATCCATTTAACTAGTAAACAAAACAACATAAAGTCTCCAAAGGTAGTGGATCACTTGCAATTGATTGATAACTGGGCGATGATCAATGTCATGCATGTCAGGTCCTTCTTAGTGCAGATCGAATCCTATCGACCAAGTTGCTATGTGGACACTAGTCCAGGTGACTCGATATTACGTGCACTATGTTGAGATGAGATGGTGGTTGGATCACTCTAAGCTTTCCAAGTTGATAGCGGAAAATCAACGCGATAGAAAGGTTAAAAGTATTTAAGCCATAAATGTTACAAATATCCAATTCTCATAAACGAATGGTAAAAACGTTTTCCGTGAAATCCTTGTGTGTATATGCAAAAATACACCATTTAAGTGGATTCCAATTATAGATGTAGTAGTAATATAAACAATTAACTTATCATGCACAGGTTTATGCGTTCTGCTCTTAACGACGATTTTGTCGTATGAAAGCTAGTAATACTACCTGACCACACAAACCGAAGTGGGTGGGGCGGGGTTGAAGCTTATGCCTTAGTGGTGTAAATCCTAATTATCTGACTACTAAACCACATATTAATAATAGAAAAGATCATTTTTTGTATTTACTACTTGTTTGTCCACACTCCATCAAGAAGAGTAGTATTTGAATTGCTGACCACCTGCAAACTGACAGGACCAAAATCATGGGTAGACATTTAGTAATTAATAAGTGCTCTATTCTAAGCATTATAGTAGTGAATAGTGGGGTAATTACCGGTAAAACCTAATTTATTCTTCAAAATTAACTGTTGAGTACAATAGCAAAATATTCAGAAAATCGTTTCCTCATTTTTAAACAAACGAGGATTGTATCAAAGGTGTTCATAGATATATTAAAACCACAAAACAGGTGAAAGTTAAATATACGATTCAAAGCCATGTTACCCATCTCTGGAAACTGATGAGCACAATCAGTTGCCCGTTCATACTCTCTAAATCAGATTAGTTCATTATTAATATCTGAAAGTAAGCAGGCGCTAATTCCATCCTACACATTTGAGTTTCACTTGCAATTCCACAAAAAATTCATGATGAAAAGTCCTCATCAAAATATCGAGCCTCAACCTATAATAAACATTCACATTTGTTTGTTTTGACAGGTATGCCTGTTATATATTTCCTCCAATAGAAAACAATATCGTCAAAATTTCCTAAATGATAGTTAAATGTAATATTAAAACTCAATAGTATGGTTAATGTAAGTCATCTGTAAGTCGATTAGAAATGACGCTCAATTGTATCTAGAACGTTTCTCAGAACTGAAGCAAGAATGTTATATCTTGTTTTTCCGTCTTTGTAATGAACAACCAAAGGACGTGTTTACTGCGCAGCAGTTCGTTCCGTCCTACTTTATGGCAATGAAACATGGCCAGTAAGAGTAGAGGATATTCGTAGGTTACTAGTATTTGAGCATAGGTGTCTTCGAAACATCGCTCGTATATCCTGAGACCACCGAGTAAGTATTGCAGTTGTTATGAAACGGGTGCTAGGTAAGGATGGCAAATCAATTGATGAAGTAGTGAAACTTAATCAATTGAGATGGCTGGGACATGTGTTGCGTATGCCCAACCACCGACTGCCCCGACGATAGCAACCGATGGTTAGAGACCTTGAATGACATGGCTCAAAATCGTTTGCAATGGCGCAGGTGCATCCACTCTTTGTGTTCTCTCAAACTCTAATCTTCTGAATTCTTCATGTCCTTTATTTTCTTTCCCAATTTATTCCACTGGGCTATACTCCTTTAATAACATCATCAAACCTTAATGTCCCCTATCTCTACTTATACTTTCAGTACCTCTACCACTATGGGATTTGAATCGATAACTGAATCTCTGTGCTAATGTGGTATGGCAACTCGAACTGATGTACGTACGTACGAAGTTCCACGTTGTTACTGACTGAATGAATGAACACTGTATCGTGTGTTAAAAGTAGGAAAGTTTTGAAAGATCTATCTTTGTTATGATTTGCTGTGCTTGATTACTACCATTATATTTTTTTTCTTTGCTTTAATATTCATAGTATTGTACCAACCGAAGTAAAAGTGGTATTTTAGGATTCTTCAGAGCATTTAAATAGATTATTTCATCGGTATTAGTAACATTAAAAATGCTTTATAACAGTCAGTCATACGCAAAGTAGAAGGTGGTACATGTGTTTCGATCTAATTTCCCGTACACTATTATCATAGTGAGATGAAATTGTTAAGGAAATAGTAACAGTACTAGTGGTGTTAGAAAAGCCTAAACACTGAAGATACGATCCAATAAAAGAAGGATCATTATAATAAAAAATAAGGAAACAATAATTGTGGGGAACCTTGAAAATTAAGATCTAAGGCAGAACAAAAGGTTAGTGCACCTGCGCCATTACGAATGATTCTGAGCCATATCACTTAAAGCTTAACCAATCGTCACAATAGTCGTGCAGATCCCAAACAGGTAATCTACACCTGCCTACATAACTCAGTTCAACAGCGGGCTGATGCTATGTTTTGTTCAGCCTTCCCTATCTTCTTTCCAATCTGTTACGTCATGTATCTCCGTGCGTCGGGGTAGGTGGTGTTTGGGCATAATTCATGCACGTCCTAACCATCTCAGTCGATCGCGATTCACTAGCTCGTAAATTGGTTCGTCACACGTAGTACCCTACATGCTAACCTCGGATTTGTGGACTTGATGGTCCGTAAATGTACAAGAAGTGCTGTATGATGCAATTCCAGTGAACTACAAACGTTCTTTAATTTTAGGGGCGACGTTTCACAACCATAAAGTAAAAAGGAGTGAACTGGCGCCCAATATAATCGTCCTTTAGTTAGCAGATGGATATCTCATCTACTGCACGATTGACGCAAGTTGGCGAAGCCAACTAACCCACCAGTGATGATGGGACTTCTTTGCTATGTAGCGTGGTTAACACAATTAACTCTTCACTGCCTATTACCAGTTCTGAGGTTGATGCGAACCAGTCCTGAAGCAACATTTTGTATTTAGATGGAAAGGAACAGCAGTCACTTACTTATAAAAATTGGTATAAAGTCTATTTACTTCAGTATTCTAAAGTCTCTGCTTTAAAATATAATTCCAGTCTTCCGTGCTCATTTTTTCATGTGTGGGAAAAATGCTTCTGTGACAGCATCAATAGTGCTTTCATAGTGTAATGTAAAATATGGAAATCATACATTATACATCATTTACACATCTTCCTTCAGTTGTCCTTTACATACTCCATCATCCAATCGGGTTGTTATTCCAATTTCTCTCCATTTTCCTTCCTGTTCTTTCAACCTTCCGCCGTTTAGCATTTCACCTCCTATTACTGCTGCATACTAATATCTATCCAAACAAGAGGCACACACCACAATATTACAGACTCTACTTTGTGCCTTCTTTTGCATTTGAGAACCTCTCAAAATCCAAAACGAGTTTTATTGAAAGTTTCGTAATATAGATAGACTGTAACTACCTGTGAAGTCCAAAGTGCGGGTTTTGTCCTCTTTAGTACTCGTTAGTTAGATGTCCTGCATTGTACCTCGAATCTAGTACCTTTCAGTTTAATAGCTAATATATTCACCGATCTGATGAGTTTAAATAAACACTAATTAGAAATACCTCATATTGTAAATTTAGAACAACATATATGAGCGAACAATATTGCTTTCGATTAGATCCTTATCAGGCTTTACTCTAATATACAGTAATATTTATATGCATATACAAAATTATTAAACCAATAAAGGTAGTTTGTGAGTCAATGATAACAATGAGAAAGATTACATAATAGGTGGGAAGTACAAATTGATAGTATGATGACAGGTGTACTAGTTTTAATAAGAATAATAAAGGCTTAAATTAATAGGTCATGATTAGAAAAAATATAGACAGTGAGGTAACATTTATAGAAAATATAAGATTACGTAGTAAGAAGTGTTCAGGTAATTGAACCGTGGGGTGCATATTTGAAAGAAAATAAATTAAAATGGTAAGAGGGGGTGAAGAAAAATTAATAATAAACGAGTAGGATAACAATGAATAAATTCATTTATTAATGCCAAAGGGAGAGATAGGGGTATTACAAATTTCTTATGAACACTAAGACTTGGATTGTTGGCTGGAATTCCTATAGCTTCTGCTTTGTGTAAGAGACGAGATCAAACACCATAAGGAAAACTTGTAGGAATATGATAAATAACTTTAAATGACTTTTTTCTGTCCACTACAGAAATTTCGTATATTCATATAAATATTACTGCATATTAGAGTAAAGTCTGATGAGGATCTAATCGAAAACAATATTGTTCGCTTATATGTGTTGTTCTAAACACTAATTAGTTTAACGGGTACGATGTTTGTGCCATTAATTAAAAAGACTTGAGTTATTTCTTAGTTGATATTCAGGACTGAAATCTAACCATTATGTTTTGGTTTCTCAGGAATATCATATTTCGAAGATAAGTATACACTACAGTAACTGTAGACTTGTAATGCCATTTATACATTTTTTTTTGTTATCATTTTTATTTCAAATTTATGTAGGGTGTCACAGATGAAGCTATGGTTCATCTTTCCATTGGTTGTCCTGATCTACGTGTACTAGCTATATCACATTGTTCAATAACTGATCAAGGTCTTCGTGCAATTGCTGGCACATTATCGCCAGCTGCAGCAGCAGCTATCGTTGGACAAGCTACATCTACCAGTCAACAAAATGGGATCCCTTTAATTCTTCCGGTAGTAACAAGCAATGGAAGTGTTAATCATCAAGATGTTTCATCACTAAACGGTAATGTTAATAATCATGGAGATCGAGATAATAATCGACGCCAAAAAACTAATGATTCTAATAAGATAACATTGATTCCAGTTGGATGTGTTAACTTAACAACTTTAGAAGTGGCTCGTTGTTCAGCTATCACAGATATTGGACTATCGGCAATCGCACGTGTTTGCAATAAAGTAAGTTATCTTTAATTTATAATTTATAATTGTTAATCAATCATAATCAGCATAAAGCCTGGCATAAATGTGTCCAGTCCAACTTGTTATAATGCATCGGCACAACGAGATACAAATTAAGATGAATAGCAATGGAGTTAAAACAGTGCAGTAACAATATTGTTAGAAGAGACTAAATATTGAGAATATGGAATGAAAATATGTATATAAAGCGATACTAGGAACCAAGATTTTCAGTGAGATAAAAAATGAATACATCTGAGCCATTGTTACCGATTCTGAGTCATTTTTAGTTCAGCATTTCCAATCATTAATCATAGTTAATGTTCGAATTCCAATCATGTAGTTAGCACTTACTAACTTCGTTTATTTCATCAGTTAATGATTTCATAAACCTATATCATATTTTGATTTGAACATCTTTAGTTTTCTTTTAAACTATTCCTACACCAGTTTATTTCATCTGTCAAAGTAGACAGTGGATTAGGCTTACGTAACATATGTCTAAACTGTAATTGCTTTCGGAAGAAAAGTACAACGGATATTCATTGATTATTATATCAGTGAGTAATGTTTTATTTAAAATAAAACAATCAACTTTTATTTCTCATATACTTACCTTATACGATAGAAATGGTAATAATTAATCTAATTATTAATATTAAAAAAGAGATATATACTACAAAGTTTAACTATAATCATATTTATAACCTATTTTTTGGTGTTATCTGTTTCACACCACTTCTACCTTATTACATTCATTCACACATGATACATTTAACACAATTTGTATTTAAAATATATTACTATTTGATTGTTTTTGTTTTGAAAAGAAGTAGAAATTCATGTGCTCAGCTTTGAACCATATATTTTCTGCTTAAGGATTTAGTACTGTACTATCCTTCTGTCAAAATTGAAATAGGTACAGTGTGTTTTGAACTTATATACAGTTCATTAATTAGAAGTGAAGTAATTTATCTACCTTAACTTACATCTTTAACATTTGTGGAATAAAAGATATTAAATGTATCATTAAAATTACTAAAGAGAGCAAGAGCGAAAATTGGTGCAGTTTTTTCTCAGTGGAATCAGTTAAGTCCTTGTTACTTTTATCTAACTTGAATGTCATCTGGTCACTCAAAATGGACTTAATCTTAGAGACATAATCCGTTGTGTTCAGTAGAACAACACTTGAACCCTTATCTGACCGTAATATAATTATATGATCATTTCGCTTAATATTTCGTAGTGCTGTTAAGTGATCTTTGGATAAAATCTTAGACGGCGGTGTGGGTGAAACGAGATACTAGTTTGCGATATCAACTAGTTTAGATTTAAACCAGCTTTTCTTCTCTTCACTAACTGCTTCTAATTCTTTAATTTGATCAAATAAAGTCTCAAATCGGGTTTCTGTGTCAATTCTATCGACATGTATTTTTGGGATATGAAATTTAAATCTAAGCGACAAAGCTGTTTCTATTTGATTTAGCTTCACTGTTGATAGATTACAGAGGAATTTTTCGGGGTTTTCCGGAAAACCAAAACATAAGTGTTCCTTTGACAGTGTCTTTTACAAAGTTACATTGAAATTCTTGCATATTTTGCTTTGCAGACCTTGGATAAATGTGATAAATTTTATGCGATTTACGATACTTAGATCGTTGACTAGTTCATCAAAGGCATTAGTTTCTGCACTCAAACTTTCAGTCAATAATTTTGTTGATTCTATGTGAGATTTTGTGATGCGCCGAAGGTTTTTGAGAGAAGGCGGAAGTTTACATGAGCATTAGTCATTGAAGTCACTAACTTCTAGTCTGAGCCATGTTGGTAGATGCAGACTGCCTGATTGGGGTCCGCGTGACTATCGTAACCAATGGTTGGAGACTCTGAGTGATATGGCTCAGAATCGATCCCAATAGCGTCGGTGTTGTATACACTCTGTGTCTTCCTTTAAACTAAGAGATTAAAATCACTTCAAATCTTTCTTTCTACGAACTAATTCTTTCTTCCTGTACCATGTCCTTATATGCAATCTTTCTTTTGTATATTACCACCTCTGAATTAACTACTTCTATGAATCTGGTGTTCATCTTGTTGTGTTAATGAGGTGTGGCAACCTGGACCGATGCATATATGTGCCTGGTCATACGCTGTAGCTGACTGACTGACTGAAAGATTTTAAGAATTGACGTGGGAAACGGCATGATTTGAAACATTCATCAAAAAATTTAAGTCGAGTCATTCCTCTCGATATTCTACAGCGTATTGTCACCAGGCGATTCAATGACTTGAATGACTGCAGAGAGACGCATTTTGAGAAATTTCATACCCATATTTCCCTTTATTATCTTAAAGAGAGCAAGGACAAAGACTGCATCAATCTTCGTCCTTGCTCTCTTTAAGATAATAAAGGGAAATATGTGTATGGAAAATACTAAATTTAATCTGAAATAAATTTGCTTATTTATTATTAATTAAATTATGGATATATTCGTTTAAAACAGGATTTTGTACAGTGGCAGTGGTGTATATGTAGGTATTGTCAATGTTTCACAATTCTGTGAATTAATAAACTGCTTTTCAATTAATCTCAATCATTTGGATGAAATTAGTCAATTTAAAGACTACGCTTTACTCTATGGAAAATCTGAGGGTTTTGAGTTTAATCCTTTTAAGTTTTATGGATTTGGACCTTCAAAAATAAGAGATGTTAGGTTCGAAGTAAATGATTGATTCATGGTACGAATGATTATATTAACATTTTTGTATTCCTGATCACTTCCATGTTGTGACAAAGTTTTGTGTTAATTTTCATTACTGGGATTCCCTGTGCTCGTGTTGGAGGTGCTAGATCCGCAGAACTTATTTGGAAACATCTTATTTTTAAATCTGAATTTCTTATTTTTGCTCCAAAAGAGCCCATTTTTACATTCAGATTTTATTTTTCACCGAGAAGGACCCTAAATGTTATTATTTTGTGACGTTTACCAAGGACATTTTTATGCTGTATATATACGCTTGAGTTGTGATTGTGGCTGCTTGTGGAATACACTTTCCCTTATGTGAACCTGGACTTCTTCCAGTTAGCGGGGCTGGGATGCATTAGAATAATTTAGCTGTCTTGTCATAGTATCGCTGTGTCTTCGTTCCGTTCGTCGATTTGGGCGATCTCCTGATCTCTTCAAACAGCAGCTCCATTTGATTGGGGTTTGTGTATGCTGTGTACACTTGCCTCCTCTTCTTGTATTTAGGCTTGAAAGTTGTATTTCTAATTGAGTCAAGCCTTTGACTTCCAAACAATGAGTAGTCATGAGTTCTAACTATGATTCCATGAAGGTCTGTACAAAATCTGTTTTAACCGGGAAAGTTATTGTGTTCCCCAACTGCTTACTTTGGTAAAACCTTTATTCAATTTTATCCGATAAAATTTGACAAGTTCTACGTTGTAGCTGACTAACTGATAAGTCTTCAGAACTGAAATATAGATTCGGTAGTTCCAGGCGGCGGATTCTTATATTTACCACTATACTTTGATATCCTAATACCATTGTCACATTATTTGATATATAATATCTAATTTTAGTATTTTTAGTTACAAGTACTATTAGTACAAAAGTAATTATGTTATAGAGATACAGCAATAATTTTTTTCGTTTTAAAATATTTGGTCAACTATAATTTCTTACCATTGCTACTGCTGATGGCTGTTTGTTGTTATCTTCTGTTTTGAACAGCTTGAAAAGTTGGATCTAGAAGACTGTGCATTAGTGACTGATTCAACTTTAGCTCAATTAGCTGTACATTGTCCACGTTTGAATACACTAGTATTATCACATTGTGATCAAGTGACTGATGAAGGTATCGCACGTTTAGCTGAAGGTCTTTGTGGTCCTGATCAATTGCAAACATTAGCTATGGATAATTGTCCATTATTAACAGATGCTGCTTTAGAACATCTTGGCAGTAATTGTCGTAAACTTCGACAGTTGGATTTATACGATTGTCAATTGATAACGAAGCAAGGAATCAACAGTTTAGAGGTAAAACAATAAACAAATGTGCAATCATGCTTCAGACTTCATGCTTTTGTGTCTAAATAAATTTATTTGTGTAATTTTAATGAGAATTATATTATTTTCATAGTTTGAATCATATAATGATCTTAGCTAAACCACAATTGAAAACTTGATGACATTACAAGGGCATTTAGTCCTAGTATGAGACTCCTTGTAAGTGCATATCTACGACTCCGTACCTCGGGATCGAACCCAGGACATTCGGTTTTGCACCTGAACTCTTGGCCTCTAGATCAGTTTGTGATTTGAACTTTCTACAGTCTCCATAATTCCCCCTATACTAATAATAATGCATTCAACTAGTGAATAGCTCCAAGATTCCACTCCTGGAGTTCTGGTGAAAAGCTGCAACCAGTACAGTCCAACTGTGTCGCGTGTTAGACAGTCGTTCGCTTCCGAACATGGCAGATAACTACGTGATATCATAAAAATTGATTGAAATTAGACATGTACACCACTAAATGATGACTCATTGTTCTATAGGTTGAGCTTTCGCGCCTGAGACTAAAAGTTTTATTATTATTATTATTATTATTTTAACACATAGGTATTGGTACAAGGAGGCACCAAATACATATGCGCCACACGAATCTCAATTGATTTGTGTGAGGGCTGTGATACTGCTCGGGTGCCCAAACCGAAGCAGGTGGTTTTCTTAGGGAGCCACACCCCGAGCCTTTGACCTGAACGTCTGATTCACAAGGCAGTGGAGCATCGTAAGGAGATGCAGTCCCATGGAAGCCGGCGACCAACGATTGGTTCATACGCCATTTGTTTCTTCAGGATACTGGAGCCCATGTGCACCATTGGTTTGGGATCCGGTTAAAGCGCCGGACATTCGCTTTTCGTCCTCTCATTTTCGTAAACAACACCCCCGCCACGTAAAGGCAGTGAGTAGGACTTCCCTGGCAGAGGCTGTATACGCGTGGTCATGTGAGAGCATTTCGAGAGGGAGAGTGGACTCTCCCCACTCTCGGCCGTACCAGGGCATTTGGGTTGAGCTTTCGCGCCTGAGACTAAAAGTTTTGGGCTCGATCCCCTACGAGGTCGTATATGGGAACTACTGAGGAGTCCCATACCAGGACAAATTGTCTATCTAGTGCTTCCATTTTTTAGTGGTGGTCTTGTTTGTTATTTAAATTACAGAAAATTATACCATTTTTGTAAATCCCTCCATACGAATTACTTTTTATGGTAATTAAAATTAGATATTTTATAATGAATATCATAGTGTATCGAAAAGTTTTTTCCGATATTTTTCGGTTTGTGATTAAGTCGGTTTTTCAGAAAATAACTAGGTTTTTCATATTATTACATGTTTCAGTGTTACACAAGGAATTAATCAGATTAAATACTTAATTGAAATTAAAACAAGTCCGATTATATGCTACTCTTATGCTGCTATTCAGGTCAAAGTTGATTCTGTATAGAACATGCTTTCACATGTTGATAGTTAGATAGATAGGTGTGATATTGGTGGTGTCTTATAAGAAACAGGTCAAATATGGATCTGGATACATGATCTAATTTGGTTAAATTGTCGATTGAATCCTTTTTCCTATTGCTCAGAGCAGTATTTAACAACATATGACAATGATATTTTAGTTGGAAAAGGCATGTTTTTTTAAAGAAATTCTGGAAAATATTTTGATACTGACTAAATGACTGTCGGCTATGTGTCATGCATTGATCTTTCAAAGTACATGTCTTTCACGTATATGTAAACTCAATTGGGGTTGATATAAGGCGAGAATTTGTATGTATATGACTGTCACAATTAGGTTTTATTCGATACAAAGAGATGAACTAAGTAAATGCCTCTTTTTTATATGTCTATTAATCTAAAACCAATCTCTTCAATTGCTTCACGTTTGAGTTCAAGTCTTAAGATAGGCTTTTTCTCCACCATAGCGTACTACATTTCCTTCATTCTAGGTTTTCCAAGCTTTGTTATTTATAGACTTGCGGATAACTGTTCAACTACAGTCAAACATTTCACTTTTATTTTCTGACTATAATCTTAGACAGTTGAATAGCGTTCTAACTCATGCGTTTTATGATTTATTGAAGTTTAAGTATGGACCTTTTCATATGTCCTTTTGATAAGTGTATGTTTCTAATCAGCCATTTTTATTGCACCTGATGATAGGATCTAGAAAGTGTAATGTATTATCATGTTCATATTCCATCATATATATTTAATGTAGGGCTGTGCTTTTTTTTAAAAAAAAGATAGTCACTTCATAATTTTGACTATCACTAATGTTCGTCTCATTTTATTTTTACTTAACATTTTGATAAAAACTTTTCAATTCTTTACTAGTTAACAGTATAATCTAGTCTAATGATAATGGTTCAATACTTAAGGCATTCGATTTTCATCAACGTTTGGCTTGAAAAACCAGATGTTATTACAAACGTCATACATAAAGTGTAGCTCAAAGCCAACTTCATCAATGTGTACCTAACAAATGAATTGATTACCGTTCTATAATTCATTTCATATCATTTTTGTGGTGATTGTTCTACATAGAATATGACGTTTTTCTAGAATATATTTTTTATTCGTTTTAGCAGCCAAATGTTCTAAATGTTGCGTAATAATTGTTGATTTCAATTTACACACAAGAACTGATTATATGAGAAGTAGCGCAATCATTCTTAATTTCAAAATTATTCATAAGCCCCGTACTATATCTTAAATATCTAAATAGAACAAGTTCTTAAGTGATAGTATTAAACAAATTAATGTAAATTACTGAGTGTCTACTTTAAAATATTGTGGAAAAAAAACAATGAATTTTCAATCATAATGGTAATTGCTTTGTTAAGTACATTATTATCTTGATTTCAATGTCAACAAACCACGTATAAAAATTGGGGAAAATAAAATAAAATAATTTCTTGTTTCTTCCTCATGAACTCGTTTCTAAACTGTTTACAACCTTTAAGAAAATAACATGTTTATATTAATTATCACTAATAACAAAATATGGATTGTTTGTTGTATCCAATTTACAATCTTTATTTAATTTAATATTGACCTAGAGGTGGATTTTTCATATTAAAAAAATCAATACTAACAATAACCAAAGTACTCATTAATGATTAATTTTGCGAAGTAGATTTTATAATTTTAGTTTAAAATCGTAACCAGTGTAATTCAATCATATCGACCCTGGACTAAGTAACAGTGATGTAAATGAATGATGGTTGCATAACATCGTAAATTGACTGTTGTTAAGGAATATAAATCATTGGATATTAACTCAGTGGTTTAAAGGTTACACACCTGGTACAAGATATAAAGTTCATAGATACCCATTGTCAAGGAGTCCCATACAACTATGAAATAACTTTCCAGTAGTCCTTAATTCTCACTAGTTGTCCAGATAAAGTCATTCTGTTGTATAAACTATACAAGTTGGAAGGATTATCGATATCGCTAAGTTGATTGATTATTTCTAGATGAGACATATAAAAAGGCAATTTTTAAAAAAATATAAAACTGATGTCGTGAGATACGTGATACCAATTACAAAATAGATTGATTCACAGGGTAAATATCAAATCAAGACTGGACAAAAAACACGAAGAAAGCAGTTTTAATTAACAGCTTGAAATGTAGTATCACGCAAATAATTATTAAAACCTGAGGTCATCATGGCAAGACAACGTTGACAATATTATATATAGTTTTGATTATATGAATTTGACTGAAATTTTATTACTCGTGATCTCTTCAACAAATTTGAAGTTGTTTACTTATTGATTATTTTGAAATGTCAAATAATCCAGCAAATTATTGACAAGTGATTGAGCTGTTTGAAAGCATTTCGTTTAGATTCTCTACTTAATTGAGATAAGTAGTATATAACGTCAATCAGAAGTGGAATGCCTGGTAGCGAAAGATTGAGAAGATCGAATTGAAAAAACAGGAAACTAAACAGAGAATTGTAATAGCATCATGAATGAAGGAACGATAAAGCTTGTAAATGACAATTGATGGAAGATGTGCTAATGACGTACTTAATGTGCGGTTTTCACATTTTATGAAGACTTTCTATAATTTTGTTTTAACCAAAAAATCGGTTAATCAAATTATTCCAACCAAATTATAATTTTCCACTAGTCTAAATGACTTAACATCCCTTGCACAATTTTTTGATGTGAGTTGTTTAGAGGCATACATCATGAAGTCCCGTAAACAAATCACTTAGAAAAGTGTCCATATTGCAACTTGATCAGTGTTAATCGAAAAGCAGTATGGACTGGATAAACATGGAATTATTTCTGCTGAATTATCTCTTAGTCCCAAAAGTTACTCGCGACTGGATTAATTCTGTTCTTAGTGTTTCTGAATATGATTTTTGGATCAAATAAATTTGAAGGCATCAGTCCCATCATTACTGAAAATACAACTTGGTATCAAATACCAGTTAACAGAAAACCTGAATTCAGGCCTTTCTGTCGTCTGCCTTTATCACCTTGTAGTGAACAGGAACACAATTGGGTACAATCGAATGTATTTGGATACAAAATTACAGAACATCTTGGTAAATTCTGAGAACCATACAGTGAATTCTTGATTTGCAAAATGCTGATCAATTGTCTAAAAGTTGACTTCCTTTTGTAAATGTCAATCAATCATCTCAGACTTCATTATTCTTTCGTTTCTACACCAATCATTCTTTCTTGTCATTCTCTTTTTGATATTTTGCTGCCAAATACTTCACTTTCGATTGATGATACATACTACATATATCTGTCGACATCAGTAGCACACACAACCTTATGTCACCATCCTTTTGTACTCTGAAAAAACTCGTAAAAATGTTTCGTATAGTAATACTTTTCTCACTAGTGGCAATTTAGACATGTAGTTCCAGGAGTTCTGTTAAATAATCGTAACCAGTAGAGCTCCATCTTGTTTGACGTTGGGGAAACTAATAACCAATATCATTGGTATTTAGATGTTCAATATTACTAATTGTTTGGAGTTAGAAATTTGAACCATCGGATACCGACCCAATGTCTAATGAGTAAGCATTCACAAGATGATCCAAAGTTCCTGGGCTGTTTTCTAAATGAGTCCGTTGATACACATTACTCAGTAGTGCCATATTAGGACGAGATAACTGTCCAGTGTATCGTGGTTTGCGATAGCTGTCTAACTGAAATCCGTCGATGATCTTGCGAAACAATGCTAACATATTTGGGATGTGTTTCTTTTCTTTTAAATGCAAAATGTTCCAGGCATTATTCTGGGTTAATACCTGAATAAGTGGTAGCTAGTATGGTGGTTAATTAATTAATGGCTTTATTCAATATGTTTTGGTACAATATAGAATTCTCAGCACGAGCTATTTCAACAAGTTTCTTTTACAAAAAAAGAAAAAAACATAGAAAGGAAAAAGTAAAAAAACGATGTGAAACTGTACAACTTTTCAAATTAGAGACATGTTTATGAATACAGGTTATTGACTAGGTTGACTCTAACAACCTGTTCGTCACAGAGGATATTTGTTAGGTAAGGTAGTATAGAACTTTTATACTTTTGCTTGCTTGCATAAGTTTTAATGTAATTACGTAGTTCTGTGCATTGACTTTTTCAATTGTCTTAAGTGTATTCAACCCTGGTGGATTGGTTGTTTTCTGGTAAAATATCAGTAAGGATTCAGAAAGTTCATTTCCCTTTTACCAATTTACGTCACTTGTGACGTAGGCGAGGTATCCTTCTGACCATCCAAAGTGTATACACTGTGCATCAGTACTCTTTTGATTACTCTATGGCTGTAAGATATGACCTTTTAAAACCGAAAACATATTTAGGTTGTAGGTTTTTGATGATTTTCACTTCCACTACATTGGTTCGGCCTGTTTTGTTATTTTTCTTACTAATTCAACCTCGTCAAAGTAATGATGGTATGGTGATTTGAACCAACACACATTTGTGCCAAGGTCTATTTCAATTATGACTGATTTAGTCCGTGGCTTAAGCCACTAAAAGCAAATATAATTTACTGTATTGGTTCTTCAATTTGTAAGTGATGAGTTGCGAATACATTTACGTACACTTTCAATTGTAATAATGAAGTGATTTCATCTTTAATCAACTAATTATTTATATTTTTTATTCCTAATTTTTTAGTTACATTATCCCCAACTTCAAATTCATGCCTATTTCGCTCCTGGTACTCCGCCTGCATTAACTTTTGCAAGACGACGTCGTTATTGTCGGTGTTGTCGCATAATATAACTTTGTTAATTTGTCTATTTACCCATTCACACCTCTCGTTCTTCTGGCCAAGTTGTCAATTTGGTTGTATTGTCTTCTAACTTAATTTTCCCCAATTTTATTTCTCTCAGGTTACCTAGCCATTGGCAGTAATGGATAGAAGAATAGTAGCCTGAGTGAATAAATACCCAGAAATTTTATAGTTTGTTATAATATCTCCCCTGTGACCTTTAATCGTTGCTTTTTTATATAAGATCAGTACAACTTATATGTCATATATATATATATATATATATATATATATATATATATATATATATATATATATATATATATGCGTGTCTGTACAGTACTATATGGAAAGCTATGGTTATACGGGAAAAAATCAGTCTTTCTATCTCTTTAATCCCTGTTTTCATAAAGTACTATTGTTAGGACAATGATGATTACTATACTGCCTAATTATCATTTTTAATTGTAACCGTCCATCCTACTTTACACAGTCATCGTTCAGTCATGTGTTTATATAGAAAATCCCGGTCATCGACCTATGCGTTTATCTTATTTCATTGTAAGTTTTAATTTCTGAACTCTCATTTAATTTCTTTCTTGGTTTTTATTTACTTGCTACTTAAATATGACTTTCGTTACACACACGTCAGAATCCACAGAATTCCTTACAGATACAAATAAAAATGAAATCGTACTTTCTGAATATACAGCCTCAAAATTCGTCAACGATAATAACAACGATTCTTTTTGAAACAAAATAACACATACAAGTGGGTTCGAATCATTTCACTTTGAATTAGGGTACTAAAAACAATCAATAACACTACTTTGAATTTTTCTACATCTTTAACATCATTCACAGAATGCAGTTTTCTAAAACTTTCTGTTCATAATTATCCCAGTTAATTCAAAGTTGCTTTGTCCAGTTTGTCGAATCAGATAAACAATTTATATTTATTTCTGTCTGTCTGTCCGCCAGAAATGTTGTTGTCTTTGTCAACGAGTGTCTCAGACTTATTTTTCTTTTATCTATGTGTAATCATAATAATGCTGCCACCTTGTTTTGTATAATGTTTATTGTCTAGTTTGTCTGTTTGTTTGCGCTTATGCTTGTATGTATGTATGTGTGTGTGAATAATTCTTGGTCGAATGTTCCAAATTCAGTTCTGTGTGTTTGCATGTGCGTAAGTGCGCGCGTGAGTGTGTGTATTTTTTTGTGTGTGAGTATTTTCTCTTCTTTTTCTACATTTTCAGACGTGTTTGTGGTGAGTTTTTGTTTATTTGGATTTTTGTTTTTGGTTATTATGCACTTGATTGACGGTTTGAAAACAATAATAATAAATACATTAATTATTGATTGCGGACCATTAACCATGGACAAATCAACATGAGGAAACAGAGGATTAAATGTTGTTTGCTCTGGTGCATCCACAGTAATATCTGTTAATTTGTCTTCGTGTCTTATATACATATATAGGTTGGATTTCAAATTACTCATTATGATCTTGTACATTTAAGAAAATTACCTTTCTTAATATCACTTTTATTTTAAATATGCTTCTCTTTTAAAAATAAATACAAAGATAACTAATTTACTTCTCTCGAAATGTTTTGCACAATTATTTTGTTTTTACTAAATGTTGCGTAACAGTAAGCATAATTGATTCAAGTTAGCCTTTACTAGGTGATTCACTCGAATGAAATGAGGAAGTGACTTTAATGAGGGAATTACATATGCAACTGTATAATATGAGCTGAACTGGTTTAGATACACGGAATTAATCAGTCATAATAATGTATCCTTCATGTAAAGGGTTATAAGGAGATGATTTTTTATGTTGTGCAAAGATTTGTTTCAAATATTGTCTTTCAATTTTTAAGTGTACTATCACAAATCTGTCTTATAGGTCAGCCATAGTTTGTAAATTGAGGGAATGTTTTCTCAAGAATATCGAAAATATGTTTTTACAATATGAAAATGAATACTGTCAAGTTTTTCTTTCACAGTCTTCAACTAAGATATTAACCGTCAAGAATAGTTCCCAAAGTTCCATTTATTCGCTTATATCTAACAATTTTCCAATAAAAATTCCTTCATTCAATTGTGTGAAAAGTATTCGTCATTACGATATGATAACTGCTATACAACAGTTGAAAGCCAAGAACAATTTAAAATATTGTTGTTCGTGTTATTTTTAAAAAAATCCTAAACACTGTATGACCACAAATCCATGTGCGGTTGAACCAACGACCACCCTGAATACGATGCATTTTGAACAGTGAATCATTATTTCAATGGTAATTTGTGTGATTCACCTTGACTTCTATATATCGTCATTAAACTACTGTCTCATTCGTAATTTAGTCGACTTTACAGGCGTATATTAGTTTTTATGGTATGAAGTCCTTACCTAGTTATAAGGTTTCAATAACAATCATCCATTCTAAAAATTAACACAGAATGTACATCAGTCTACAGACATGACAAGCTTAATACAAAATTGGTAGTTACAAATTCAAGTTCATTTTTCTGAAAGAGTTTATTATCTATATTTAGACGGAATTCATAAGCCTTAATAATAAAATACAATATTAATTATTGTTCAAAATCCATTGCTAAAATATATCCACTTATTATAAAGTTGTCAATAGTAGACGAACTGACAGCATATGTTGAAGTATCATATAGGTGACATGAATGATTCATTAAATGAGCTTTGCTATTGGAAAGGCTACGTATTTTTCATAAAAATCGCATGAAACAGTCGAAATACGAAAACAAAATGTCTTTCACGATGCTTTGCTTGTAATAGATCTCCGGCTTAAGACGATTTGCAATGAAAACATATTAAAGTGGTTCATGGTCTCCATACATACTGACATATATACTATGTGTATGTGCACAATTTTCTAGTCTAGTGTTTTCGCTCAGCACATCTATATGTAATCGCTTTTTTCATACTATCTTGTATGAGCCATGTGAATTCTCTTATTAAATAGTAACTGAATTCCTACTAATGTTTAGGCATTTCACATGATTTGATTATAAATAATAATTATTATTTCAATTTTGTTGTCTTTATTTATCGGAATATGTTCATTTTTATTGTTGTCTAATTGATTTCTTTTTACTTGACTGGTTCTGTCTTGTAGTGTTCACATTATTCCATGTAAATACATTATTGATATGAATTAAGGAAAAGTTACATTTTATTCAGACAAAGGGATATGATGTAATGAAGACTATAATCTCCACCAAACTTTATAGTAATGTAGATCATAAGCCCACTAGTGTCTAACTTCAAAAGATAGTTTTTAGAGTTCCTGTAAGAATTCATGATTAGTGGTGTTCGACCATATCAAATGTGAGGCAATTATTCACCTAGGGTAATGGATTATATTTTCACAGTACCTCATATTGATTGTATTTAGACCCATGGAGCATGAGATTCTGTCTCAGCGGTCTAAACTCCAAGCTCTGGCCGTGAGAATTTAAGGATTAGTACTCGCTCCTCGGTGATGTGGCTGCGCACTTCCGTGGAGTCTCATAGTAGGACGAAGCAACTAGCTACTACTGTTGTGGTACTTGCGTTTTCTTCTACGTCCCCTAATCGATTGTTAGATAAAATTTGCCAATAAGAATCCAAATTACAAGTCCTTACACTAAGTATGACCAGTAAAGCGTTTCTGCTGACAACTATTAACGTTGAACCGTTGCCACGTTTAGCTATTGATCTGGGGAACACACCCCTCCGTAAGATCCCCAGAAATCTAAGTACTAATCTGATCAAATGTCTTACCGAGGATTGCTCAAAACATGAAATAATGTTAGTCGCCCGCTGTGAAATCTAAAGGTCCTAGAGCCTATTCCTGGATGTGTCTTGGGACCCCACTTATAGGAAGTCCTGTGCTGGGACGAAGTAGCTATTCAGTCTTATCTTTTATGTAATGATAATCCGGCTGAGATCAGTCCGCAACTATTACCAATTGAAAATCAAAAGTATTCTCCACAAAACCAATTCTAAGCAGTAACATCATATAGATTTAGGTTGTAGAGGGATTGGATCCGTAGATCATTTGAATTGGGCTGACAACTATCACTGTAGGAAAAAGTCCAAGCATCCTTCTTTAGGACTCATTACAAGATCCCGTGACCCTAACTGCCTCGGCTTATACAACGGAAATGTGTTCCAACAAAAGTCTACCATTTAAGATGTTGCCAAGCCGAAACTCACGTTACTAGCCAGTATGAGGAGTGTAGTTTTTGAAAATAAAACACTACATCACACGAAAATGGCGATGCCTTAGTGTTTATTCTGTAACTACGCTTTGAAATTATATAATCCTGTCTTCCAAAAATAGTCTACTCTCATTTTGTCACAAAATATGAGGTTTACCGTACTTTTAAGATAAATTATTCTCTTGGAGGAAATTTCCTCTATACAATGGCCAGGTATCGAGTTCATTATCAAAGTGTGTGATAGCTAGAAGAGACTCTTCATTTACTGTATCAATTTAAGTCCTGGAAATTGTATGCACTGGTTTGAAATTAATATTCAATTACTCTGGACGAATCATACACTTCCACTTATTTGATACAAAGTGTAATAAATGACTTCCAAAAGTTAGTTCATTTTTCGTTGTGAATATTGAATACTTGCTGTGTATAAGGCACTTTAAGAATAGAAGGTTGAAGTATAAAAATTTTTCCAGTTTTCTACCCATCCTGGGATTTACATTAGTTTTCTGCATGCCACCTACCGATAACACTGGTCGGCGGCCTATGCTCCATTGGGAGTAACAGGCGTAAGTAAGTAAGGTAAATAAAACTAACGCATACAATCCTTTTCAATCAGGGTAAAATGGATAGGCATTTCCTTATCAAACTTGATGGTATTGATCCCACCTTTACTGACGTTAAAATCGATTTCTGTGAGAACAGCAATGAAATTATATTTTTCATGCATCTGTTGATGTGATAAGACTGCTAGACTATTTGGCTAGTTGTGGTTATCAAGTTCCATTCAAAAGGTTAACCTGATTTCGTCTTATTGTCTGTTCAATGCAAAGCTTTATATTCTATTAAACTAAGGAATATGATAAACAGTCGATATCAAACTTTACCCCATAGATCTTCGTAAGTTATTCTCTTTAAGGTACACGTCTACTGATTTACAAGAATTTATGGCGTGAATCAATTATCTGAGAACTGAGATCGATTTTCAAACTTCCCTCAATTAGAAATGAAATTTAAAAAAAAATCAAGTTCAGTCTTCTTTAAAT